GAGACTTATGCCTGTAATCCCAGCAGTTTGGGAGGCTGAGGTGAGAGGACTGCTTGAGGCCAAGAGTTTGAGAACACACTGACCAACACAGCAAGGCTCCATCTCTAATTAAAAAAAAAAAAAAAGGTTTTTTGAACCTTTAAATTATGTAAATTCAAATGCAGATACAAAAACGTCCATACAGGTTCAAAAGCCAGAGTTCTAGCGCTAAAGTATAATTTGTATTTCAGACTGAGGAAATTCATAATACAATCTCCCACAAAATAAAGCTTTTTAACACCAAAAAAATGAACTGTAATACTAAAGTATTTTATACGCATCTTTTTACATAAAAATCTTTAAGAATCATTCCATACTTCAATGTAATTTTGCCCAAGAGAAATATCATGTCAGTTGTGCAGAGTGGGACATACGTAAAAGCTGCCATGGACAGATGGCTGCCCTTTTTCTTTTCAGTGCCCTGAAAACTGACCTAGCAGCTGACAGCAATCCTACTGGCAGAAGATTCACCACATTTTTCTAGCCATTGCTGGTGATTCTTAATAAAACTGCGGCTCCCTGCTTTGAAGAGACTTACAGAGAAGGCAGCCAGTCATATTTAATAAACTGTTATACTTCATTTGTCATGTTTCAGTATTTTAAAAATCTAGGCTTCAAGAGAAGCATGATAACAGATGATAATCTTGTTTTGAGGACTGTATAAATATATGGCAAATACCTAAAAAACAGTAGTCTCCCTTTTGTCACATCTTCAAAGAGAAAGTACTTAAGAGGTACAGAAAAAGCTAAGATACAACAATTAAACTTGCAGTCTTATTCTGACACGATCATAATTCTTTTTATTATAAATTTTTATGTACAGTGGACATTACACCCATTCAACAAATACTTCCTGAACCCTGTGTGCTAGGCATAGAAAAAGGAAGACATTTATAAAAATGATGAAATACCTTCATAAGAGCCAAGAATCTGTCCAAAATATTGACAGCCAGGACAAAAGTTTCAGTGCAAGATCCAAAAAAGTTGGCTAAACTCCTTAAATCTTCAACTTTGGCATTTCTCAATCCTGGACACAAAGTGTTATCATTCTGCAATAAAAACCAAGAAGCAAGGTTTACGATTTTCTTAGAACCAGATGAAAAACACATATAATCCAAATAAGGTTAATTTTTTTCCCCCAAGAATAAGGTAAATTTTTTTCCTCAATCTTCAAGAATATGGGTGGAAAGAGTGATATCACTTAACTAAAGCCTATACACTTTATCATCTATAAGATGTAAATCACTCCTTCTTAAAAATACAAACCATAAAAGAGCTTCAGCAGTTCAATATAAGGTGAACCGTTGCAAGATTTCAGAAGGTTATAGCAAATACAATTCAATTCCCTTGGAATGCAGAGAAAGGGTTCTTTTGTTTGCTTTTGTTTTTCTGAAGTCATTTAAGATCCTACTTTAAATACGTATTTCACAGGCAAAGGGTGTTTCCACAAATGAACTGCTCAATTCACTGGAGGGAGTGGGGGAAGGCAGGGAAGGTGCTACATTTAAAAAAAACAAAACAACAAAAAAAACACTTCTCTAAAGTATCACTTTCATTCTTGCTAAGAAAAAGCATGACCCTATAATAAGGTTTATCTTGGTACTCCCGAAAGAACTTTGATCTTAAGAAATTTTGCAGGCTTTAGTCATGATTCAACGGGGAAGGGGGGTTGTTATCTCCTCCCGCCCCATCAGCTGCTTGAGCAAGTTATCTTTTCTGCCAACTTACCTCCGGGGTAGCCTCAATCAGACTCAGTCCTTTTTCTCGAGGTTGGAATCTCTGTTCTTGTTCCAGGTAGAGGTTCAACAATCCGAGGAGCTGGACCCCTTCACGACCTGCCAAGTGCTCTGCCCCCAAATCCTTCATCTGCAGCAAAGACACCACATAGAGAATGTAACCTAGGGGTATGAGGGGTGGAGAGGCGGGCTAGAAAGGGCTGAGGCCAGTACCTCCAGCGAGGGTAGCCCCAGTACACCCCGACGAGGAGCGGGTGAGGGGACTGGTCACGTCAGCCAGAGCCCCAGGGCAATCCCCACCACCGCCAGGGAGGTGTGGCAGGAGGAGGAGCCGTGGTCAGGTCCGCCGGCCAGCGCTGGATCAGACCGGCCAGCTCTGGCCTCTCGGCGATTCATAAACAGGAAACCGTCCGCCCCACCTGAAGTCGCGCCAGGGAGGGCCTTCTACCCAGGGGACTGCAGCGTGGCCAGCGACTGCAGCGGGTCCCGGGGATGGGGCGTTGCACAATAGGGGGGAGGGGAGGGAAAGTCTCGCGACTGAACAAAGAAGCGGAAGGAGGAGACTCCCGAGCCCCGCCCGCCCGGGGCGTCCAGCTGTAGAAGACCCTCTTGCAGAAACCAGCCCCTGGCTTTTCCCATCCGCTGCGGCAGCGCCGATTCCGGACGTACCAGCGGCGGACACCCCAGTCCCAGAGAGCCGTGGAGTGGCCCGGCACACCCGGCTACGGTCCGGGGGCAGAAATCCAGCCCGCCCGTGCCCCGACAACACCCGTCCACCCACTGACGCCGGGGCCCCGCAACTCCGCGGGGCTCCGGAGCTGTCAATCCGAGAAGCACCACCCCCAGCGAACCCCCGTGACTACACGAGCGCGGGCGGGGGGCACCGAGGCGGAGACTGCCCTTAGCCTTATCGCCCCCTCCGTTCACCCCACCAGCATCCATCTGTCCATTGTGGACGCCCGTTCCCCACAGGGCTGGGGCTGAGTGCAGCACCCTGGTCGCTCTAGCGGATGAGGAGCAGGCAACACCGAGGCGCTCTGATACCATCCTCCCCGCAGCCTGCAGTCCCCACCACAAACAAAGAAACTCATGGCGCCCCCGGGCGGGCCCACTCACCGTGCCGGAGACGCGCCTCCACCCGCCCGCGGCCTCGCAGTCTGCAGGGACAGGGCGCGGCGGGGGTGTCCGAGCCTGTCTTGCAGGTCGGGGACCCACCTCCTCAGCGGTGCTCCCGGCCCGGCATCCGACCCTTCCTCCCAGCCACCGCCGCCCCCGCCTCACAGCTCCGGCTCCATGCCGCCCCCCGCGCGCCCACCCTTCACCGGGCGCAGCGCCGGCCGCCGGAGACCAGCCCTCCACCACACCTCCGCCGCCTCAGCGGAGGCCCCCGCGAGCCCCTTGTTTTTGTTATGGGTTTTTCGACGCCCCCAAGGGGGCGGGGCACATGACTCCCCGCGGAGGGATCCTGCACTTCAGCCACAGACTTTGAAAAAGAGTCCCGCCCCTAAGCCGTCTCTAGCCTCTCTCGCGGCCTCCCTAGCTCTCCAAGGCTTTGCCGAGCCAGTCCTCCCGCCCGGCGCCAGGGCGGAGGGTGGAATCTGCGCGTCGGCCTTGTCCCGCGATTGCTCCGGGTTGGGAGAAGGGGGGATAACTGAGAAGCGGAAGGAGACTGTTTCTGGTCTCGTTACGCCTTTTAAAGGTCCCCGATTTGTTTTATTTTCGCTGTTTTGAAAAGTCCGCCCAAAGTAGCCGGCTCTCTGATTGGATGCGGGAGGGGCGAACGGAAAGCAGAGGTCTTGATCCACCCTCGAATCTGGATTGGCTAACTCAATAGTCTTGGAGCCCTCTGATTGGCTTTCTCCGTATCCTGAGCCTCTCTCTGCCTTGGGGCCTTAGCAACTCCGGGGTCTGGATTGCGCTCGCCTGGGTGGGCAGAGGGGAGGGCATTCCGTTACCTGCCCTACGGAGCCGTACCTTCGCTCCCGGTTACCTCCGCCTCCGCCCGTCTTGGGGGAATGCCATGCTCGCGGAGTATCTCCAAAGAGCTTAACCTTTGTGACAGCCCCTTCAGCCATGGGAGAGTTTTCTCAATTCCTTCTTTGTCTTGCAGTTCCATTTTGCAATAACCCATCACATTATTATAACATTGTCGGGGCGTTTACTAAAATGTTCAATAAATGCTACACGTTTGGGCATTTGTTTTATAAATCTCCAACCCAAGAGAAGAAAGGGAGGAGAGAGGTGAAAACAAGTTAGGCAAAAAGTTGAGGATCGAGGCTGAGTGATGGGTACACGAGGCTTCATTACACTATTCTGCTTGTGTGGCTTGGAATGTTTCCATAATTAAAAACAATTCAGGAGGGACTTTTTAATAAAAACTTGGCACGCTGATAAGGGTGCATAAACATCTAATAATTATAGCGTACCTCCAGAAGTTGTAGTTGTGCTGTTGTTTTAATGAAGACTCCCAGAGCTGCTTGGTCTTTAGTAACCCATAAATTATCATTTATTGTTCATTATAATTAGCGTGGTTGTTATTATAGGCGACACCTCTCCCGGGACGGGACAAAAAACAAACCAACCAGGTGCCTTAGGCCAGAGAAACTTTCACACAGAGTATCACTGGGAGATGTGGTTGACTCCCCTGGAACATTTATAGTTTGTTTACTTTCTCCCTCCTAAATTAGCAAATACCGCATTCATGAGTTCTAATCTACATAATCAGCCTCTGGAAACAAATTTCTCTTTTCTGCTCTTCTGTATGTTTTCTGTGAATTATTTTGTTACTTGTGAAATATGGGAAGGCATACAATATAGCTTTGGCAGAGTTCTTTGCAAAGCAGCTAATGAATTTTAGAAATAGGTTCTTTTGCATATGAGCTCGGACTAAACACAGGCATCTGTTTGGAGCACAGAGCAACTGGGGGAAGGGAGCCCAAAAAGCTAACAGTTATTTCAGAGTGGTGTGACCTTGGTGAGGGTTTTGGAAAATAAGATAAAATTAGCATATTACTTTTAAATTATTTACAGGCTACATAATTTTATCCAATGCCGATTTGATATTTTAAACGTTATTTAAGTGATAACTTTTATTTGACATAATCATCTTGCTGGAAATCTATGCTGATAAACATAATAGGAACATGAAACTCACTTGGAGAGTAGAGCTAAGATTAAAATTACAGTGATAACAGCTCATTGTACAGTGTCAAAAGGCTGAGTAGAGAGAGCCCACAGACAGAAAGCAGCTCGACCAACTGTCCACCACCAGAGAAATGAGAGTTTGTGAGCAAAGCATGAAGGAGACTGGCAACATTTTTTTCAAGTAAGAAGGCAAAGGTAAAAAAAGAACATATGTTATTTAATAAGTGATGTGAAAGAGGAAATGCAAATTTATGTGGTAGAAGACTTTAAAAATAACAGAGTATATAAAACAAAAAGGAAAAGATTTAGAAATTGTCCTTTGCTTAGGCTACATAATTTTATCCCATGCTTACTTGATCTTTTAATCATAAATAAGTGATAACTTTTATTTGACATAATCATCTTGCTGCTTAGATCACTAAATGTCACAAAGCTATACTAAATGTGTACTCTATATTTCATAACTGGTATTTTATATGTCTTTTTGCAGACAGCCTCTTGAATGATGTGAACAGAGTGATGGCTTTCTCTGAGAGTGAGACAAGAAAGCTTTGTATACGGTGTTGAATTTCCTGCTCTTGGCAGGCCCTGCTCAGCACAGAAGAAAGCACTGATCAGGTTGTCCAAGACGGAGTCCTTTATCCACTTTTTAGTCCACTTGTCTCTTTAAAATTAAAGGAAAGCAGTCATTAAAAATATTGGTCCAGTAGTTATTAATATAGCATCCTCTTTTTTAAACACCTCATTTTAAGTATGATGATATTCTTGGGAAATGGGCTGAGGGATTATGCAGGTTTTCTGTTTATGTTGCAGAATTTTTTGTTAATATATCTTTTTTAAAATTAAAAAAAAAAAAACTCCTCATTCTATTTGTCCTTATCATCTTGGCTTACCTTGCTGGAGCTGAAAGTGTTATTTATGAAAAAAGACATTATTGCCCTTAGGCTAATCAGGCTTTACCCATTAGCCTTTCCTGAGCTTTCTAGAGGGCAGATTTGCTGTATCATGCATGCACATGTACAAAATAAGGAAATCAGAAACCTGGCACCCACCCCAAGAACTTCTAGACAATTTAAGATACTTGATCTTCCACAGTACATGATAGGGGTGCAGTGAGGTTGGGTGATACTGTCACCAATAACCCCATAAAGGCCTCATGTGCAGCCCGTTGTCCTCAGTGACATGTGAGACTGAAACTAGAAGGTGCTCACAGAATGGGTAATAAGCAGGGAGTGCCCACACAGAAACAATGCCTACATTCAGTAAATCCCTGACTCCTGACAAGTGTCCTGCAAACCTACTCACACTTAAGCTTCTACCTTGAATATAGGGCACTCCCATGGGACAGCTGCAGTGCTTCCCTAAATGACTTAGATTTCATGAGGCATCAAAATTGCTACAACTTTCCAAACATCATCTTTAGCCTCACAGATGTGGTTTTTGACAACAAATCCTAGCTTTCTATTCAATCGAAATTTAAAGACTAGGCATTAAGTGCCAGGCATGCTACTCGGCACCACGGATACAAAAATACACAAATAAAACAAGGTCCCAGAATATACCCTGGTATGTCTGAGGTGTGGGGCAAAAGCACCGGCCATGGATCAAAATAGCTTTGTGTCCCAGCTTTCCTACTCATTAGAGATGCTGCCTTGAATACCTTGAATAATTCCCATTGTCTTGAGCCTCAGCTTTTTTTCTTTCTTTTCTTTTTTTTTTTTAAGAGACGGGGTTTCACCATCTTGGCCAGGCTGAGTCTTGAACTCCTAACCTCGTGATCCACCTGCCTCGGACTCCCAAAGTGCTGAGATTACAGGCATGAGCCACCTCGCCAGGCTGAGCCTCAGCTTTCTAACCTAGGAAAACAGAAAACCAAAGGTAGTTGTGTCTGCTTCATATGTGATGACAGAATACAAACATCTGTGAAAGCAATTAGCTATTTATTTCCAGGCTGTTGGAATTTTTCACCAGGTTGTAACTTCATGAACGGAAAGGAAGGGATCATCCTAACCTCATCCAAGAAGTCTGGTGGAAAGCAGCCCCAAAAGGAAAGAAACTGAGGATAAGGATATGTAAAGCTGACATGAGGCCATACTCCCCCTCCCTATCTAGTCACTATTGCTGGCTCCCTGCCTGGGTTGTTTTCTGTCATTGAGCTGAGCATGGTGGTTCACATCTGGAATCCCAGCACTTTGGGAGACTGAGGTGGGAGGATCACTTGAGCCCAGGAGTTGAAGACCAGCCTGGGCAACACAGCGAGACTTTGTCTTTACAAAAAAAATTTAAAAATTAGCTGGGCGTGGTAGCATGCACCTGTAGTCCCAGCTACATGGGAGGCGGAGGCAAGAAGATTGCTTGAGCCTGGGAGGTTTAGGCTATAGTGAGCCTTGATCATGTCACTGCACTCCAGCCTGGGCAACCGAGCAAAAGCCTGTCTAAAAAAAAAAAAAAAAAAAAAAAAATGTGGTTTGCAGCTACAAACTTCCTGCTTAGATAAGCCCTGCTTCGCAGAACCTGCAATGGAGACAGGAATGCCTCTCCGAGGGAGAGGAACAAGGAAGGTATAGCATATCATAGGGTACCATCTTGAAGTGATGCAGATTTTCCAACCAAGAGCTCATTTTAAAATCAGAGCCTGGAAGAATGAGATGATTTATATAGCAGATGATTAATCTCTTTCTTCAAGCAATCAGCAGAATAAATCAGTGTGGCATCTCATATATTCTCCGTTCTGATTTTCCCACGAACAAGATAGTCTCAAATTTGAAATCAACATTTTATAATCCATTTACTACATAGATATTTTGTTGCTTTTGTTGTTAATGCTAAAAGCATGCCCTGTGTTTTTGGAAGAGTGTTTACCTATGCACGCGTTGGCCATATTCACAACACAGTCAACTCCCAGATACTGACATGCCCAGCTTTGGAATTGTGGAAATTATCCACACTGTAGAGACCGTCTGAAAGACTACAGCAAGCGGACCAGTATTTCCAGGCTGCCAGTTTAGCCCCTCCCAGTTTTACTAGCCTGCAAGAAAGTTAGCCTTCTGCAAACTACCTCTGCAACCTGAGAACACAATGCTTATTTGACTCTGAGCGTTCAAGAGATTCTCCTGCCTCAGCCTCCCAAGTAGCTGGGATTATAGCCATGCACACCACAACCAGCTAATTTTTGCCATGTTGGCCAGACTGGTCTTGAACTCCTGACCTCAGGTGATCTGCCCGCCTCAGCCTCCCACAGTGTTGGGATTACCAGGAGTGAGCCACCGCA